CCATGCATGCTTGAGGAACTAAGAAGCCAGGATCCGGTGTTCAAACGTATTGTGACAACTACCTATTTTATTATTGTACTTCTTGGGGGAGGAGAGTGGAGTGATCTTTTGCCACGGCACCAACATCAGAGTTAGATCAAACAAAATAAAGGAATTTAGAAAGAAGAAAGAAAAAGAACAAATCCAGCAAGCAAGCAACCAAACCTCCACATCTTTAAAGGAGCTGATTTCGTAAGACGCAATTCTGGGGAAAATATGAGAGCTAAAACAGCACATTTATTTAGCTCTAATTTTTGTGCTGTCATACTTCAGTGCTGGAGCCCTGATTTAGAACACATGCCATTTTCCTTTGATGTTTGGGGCTGCTTTTTTAAACAATGGCAAGAAAGATAGAAAGGAATTAAACTGCAACCCAAATCATAAAACTGGGCTTTTGTGCTCTTAATTTACATAAGGCTATTTTGGTTTTGGAAAAGCATTTGAGTCCCCAGAGCCTTGGAAAAGAAAAAGCAACCATTTCCATCAAACCATTATTTCTGGGGGTGCAATGAGGATGTTATGTAAGGCCAGTTCCTCCTCACCCTCCTCCAATTGGTATTTAGTTTTCTCCTGGCCTTTCTTCGCCAACTCCTGCTGCCCACCTTCCTTTGTCAGCCCAATCCATTTCTCTGTAGTGTGTGTGTGGAGGGTGTGTAAGGAAGAAAAAAGGTCTCTCCTTATTTGCCTTTCCAATCCTACATTTTCATTATTAAAATCTTCATTTGTTTTGCAATTCATTCTTGAGAGCCCTGCTGAATCTTATGGGAGTTTTGATTGTTCCTCTCTTGAGGGTTTGAATATATATATATGCATGCTAGCAGTGTGGAGGGCCCTATTTCCCAGCACTAGAGAGTGTAGGTGTTAATTTCTGCCCAGTCACAGTGATTTGGATACCACCTTGCACCAGACCCCCACAGTTGGCAAAAGGAAACCAGTTAATGGAACATTTATCTTCAGTGAACACTGTACTCAGAATTCTGAGGTTTTTTAAAAAGCCATTTTAAAATGAGCCAAAGAAAAGGGGATCAGAGGCAGTTTTAGGGTACTGCCATAGGGGGCGCCACAACAGCGATGTAGAACAGAGTGTGAGAGGCACAGGGGCACCAATTTTTAGTGTTGCACAGGGCAGAGGCGGAGCTAGCTGCTGTGGCACCCAGAGCAGTGCACATGCTGTGCACCCGGGGGAGGCGTGAGCATCTGGGGGGCGGGGCGGCAATGTCACCCCCCCCCCAGGGATGACACCCGGGGTGAGCCACACCCACCACACCCTCCTTCCTCCGCCAGTGACTCTGAAATCCAAGAGCCCAAAGTCAGCCACTGAGGGGATTTCTTTACAATCAGCAAATTCAACTGAGGATACTTTACTTGAGATTTATTTTCCTGAAATGTGTTCCATCTGCAAACAGCACGCACATAGCCTCCAACATTTCTCTGACGAAAATAGGGACGTCCCAAGGAAAAGTGGGACATTCTGGGATCAAGTCAGAAACTGGGACGGCTTCTTTAAAACTGGAACTGTCCCTGGAGAATAGAGACACTTGGAAGGCCTGCATGCTAGGCACTGAGAAAAGTCAAAAATAGCCTTCTGGTGCAGTATGGTCAATGGGAAGGCCGGTTCCTGCCTAAACTGGGACAGCCTCATACTGAAGCCAGTTTTGATCACAGAGTTATTGACATGAGTTCGGTACAAGACAAATCGCAAGCACAGATGACCTGCAATTTCCTAAAGACAAAGTAAACCAACAAGCCTATGCTAATACATTAAACAAAGGCTTTTTACAGAAGGTCAAATCAGGGACTGAATATACGAACCCACTTTTTTCCCGGTATTCACTGTATATCCCACTTAGACCTTGAATAAAGGAGAAAGGTTGACATGCTAGCTTTTTGTGCTTAGGTTACACATTAGTGCGTTCCAAGGCCATACTTGAAAGTCCCTATTTATAGCACTTCATTTCCTGATTTATAGTCCAAAATATTGTCAGAAAGGCACAAAAAGCCAGAATAATTTGCCGCAAGGGGAACATTTCTTTTCCGGTCCCTCTCAACCCAGAAATAACAACAAAATCTGCCCTAGTTGGCTTTCTACAACCACACTTTTCTGTTTTGTTTCTTTGATCACTGGTGTTACCTTCAGGCCACTGGCATTATTATAAGTGTTTGGAATTGGAATGTGAAGGACTCACAGTACACCCCTCAGTTTGTGCAATGTAATTTAATTTTGCACTAGGACTGTATATACACACAGCACTTTTAAAGCATATTCAAAGCACATCATTTCCCTCAAAGGATTCTGGGCACTGCTGTTTGCTATGAATTGCTGGAAACTCTAACTCTGTGAGGGGTAAACTACAGGGCCCATAATTCTTTGAGGAAAAGACGGTGCTTCAAATATGCTGTAAAGTTACAGTGCACACACAGCCTAGGACTCCAAGCTCCTTGTTCTCATCGATGGGGATGAGAGCTGGTCTATGAATTGTGCTTGTGAGGCTGTCGCCACAGCTATGTCCTGCTGTGACACCATTCTTTGCTTCATCGGTGGGTAAGGAACCTGTGGCCCTCCATACAGGGATGGCCCAAGACATTTTGGCACCTGGGATGAACCACAAAATGGCAGCCCCACCCCGTCAGGGAAGAAAGGGTGAGTGAAGACCTACATCAGGAACAAGGGGGTGAATACAGATCTACATTGGGAGCAGGATGCTGGTGGCGCTGTGGTCTAAACCACCGAGCCTCTTGGGACTGCCGATCAGAAGGTCGGCAGTTCAAATCCCCGCGACAGGGTGAGCTCCCCTGCTCTGTCCCAGCTCCTGCCAACCTAGCAGTTCAAAAGCATGCTAGTGCAAGTAGATAAATAGGTACCGCTGTGGTGGGAAGGTAAATGGCGTTTCCGTGCGCTCTGGATTCTGTCACCGTGTTCTGTTGCACCAGAAGCGGTATAGTCATTCTGGCCACATGACCTGGAAAGCTGTCTGTGGACAAATGCCGGCTCCCTCGGCCTGAAAGCGAGATGAGCGCCGCAACCCCACAGTCACGTTTGACTGGACTTAACCAACTAGGGGCCTTTACATTTACATTGGGAACAAGTAGGGAGCAAAGATCCACACTGTGAGTGAGAGCATGGGGGTTGAATCAAAGGCTGCAACAGGGGAGGAGGAAGGGGTCTGCTCTAAATCACGCCGGGTGGCTGCAGAGCTCCACCCGTACTCTACTCATAATAGCTTGAAAAATAATTCAATACACAGAATGTGCTGTTTGCTCAGAAACAACAACAACTTGGGCATTTGCTTGAGATAAAGAGAAATGCATTGGTGGACTAATGAAGGAAGGATCCCAAATACTGAAGCTAGTTTTTAAAAATATATATATGTGTGTGTGTTTGTGTGTGTCAGTTGGGGAGTGTAGAAAAGGTGCAGACCATGAAACAAATGGCCTTTAATTGCTTGATGGGGTTAAAACACCACAGCAGACTTTTTAGAGACTCCTTAACTTGTCTGTCCCTACCAGGATGGCCTCTCTGTCAGATTAAAGGTTATTGCCTCTCTGGCTTTCCCTGTGCTCAGCTTTTGAAGTCCATGGCCAAGGGGCCAGGGAGAGAATATTGCCTCAGATAAGAGGTGTTTGCTTTGTAAAATACTTGAGGTAACAATCCGTGGAGCCCTTAACAGTCCAGCAGGGACCTATGAGCTCCAGCTAATGTCTCCCGGTTCCCTGTTGGTTTCAGGGCTACTCTCCATAAATAAATAAACACCATCGCTATTTACTTGCTGATCTCTCGTATAAAGATCCATTGAAATTATGTCACAGACTTGCTATACTTTACTTATAAAAAATGCTTCTCCACTGCCCTGCATCTAAAGATTCCAGGGCGTTTTACCAAAGCGTGGTTAAACCACTTCACGCAACTCATCTTAAATACAATTTTAAAACATAAAAACTCTAAAGCGGAAGTGCAGATCAGGTCAAAGTTCCAAAAGTAACCCAAAAAGCCTGTGCAAATAAGAAGATATTTGCCTTGTGCCAAACAACAACAACAAAACAAAACTTCTAAATATTAGGGGCATCAAACATTCACTTTAAGTCGGCCTTGAATAGGAAGGGGGTGAAATTCTGATAAATAAAGACCTAATATGAGAAAATCTCAAAAGTTCTTAGGAATAAAGTCCTGAGAATGCAGTGTAATATAGTGGTTATAGTGTTGGCCTAAGACATGGCAAACAAAGTCCCACTCAGCCATGAAGTTCCCTGGATGACCTTGGACAACTCACTTACTATTAGGCAAGTCTACTTTGCAGGCTTGTTAGGAGGATAATAAGGAGCAGTGTACACACACACCTGAGTTCCTTAGAGGAAAATTGGGATATGATGCAATAATAATTACAGTGGTACCTCAGGTTAAGAACTTAATTAGTTCTGGAGGTCCATTCTTAACCAGAAACCGTTCTTAACCTGAGGTACCACTTTAGCTAATGGGGTCTCCCGCTGCCGCCGTGCCATTTCTGTTCTCATCCTGAGGTAAAGTTCTTAACCTGAAGTACTATTTCTGGGTTAGCAGAGTCTGTAACCTGAAGTGTCTGTAACCCGAGGAACCACTGTACTCATATGGTAGTTACAGCTGGCCACAAATGGTTTTGTGAAATTTCCCACCCTCTTTCAGGGTAGAGGAATGGGAGGTAGGAGACAGGGACAGTTTCTTTGGGGTTGGACTCTCAATTAGTACTGGCAGCAGACCAACTTATTTTTTCTTCCCCTGAGGTGTATGCAACTGTGTTGGCAGCCTGGGCAACCTTCTGCTTTTTCCACAATGCCCCAAACCTACCATTACTCTGGGGCGTTGGAAACATAGCATCATAGAGTTGGAAGGGACCCAAAAGTCTTGTGAAATGCCCTAGGATCTGCAGGTATAGGGTAGTCTATAAATTTAATAATTTAATTAATTAATTAATTAATTAAAAATAAAAATCTGGTCCAACACCCCCCGTGCAATGCAGGAATCAACAAAAACATATTTAATATACAATCCTCAAATAAAGGACATATCTGATATGAAATTGTAAGAACTGATACTACACTTGATTAATGGTAGGCCTTGCTGGAAAAAAATGGTGGAGAATATTCAGAGAAAAAGATCATTAAAGTGACTTCTGGGGCGGGCAAATTTAAAAAATCTCAGCAATTTTCTCTAAAATGTAATTTCACCTCTTCAAAACACAGACAAATCTCAACACAGAGAGAGGAACAGGAGTTTGGCATAGTTTGCCAGTACTGCATATACTTGAAAATTCATTTTATCATGCCATACTGTAAACATTAGTGACTCCAATAATTGGGCTCAGAAGCAAGTAGATAGCCAATCTCACATTGACTGATGTGCCTTCTAAATAAATACTTCAAGGGCATCTTTTGCTAAACTACTGCTAATTGTCAATCCACTTTGCCCCATGGTGCCAAATGTTTTCTTTGAGATAACAGAGAAGAAGCAAGAGTCAAGTTCTAGAAAGTCACTAAGTCAGGCCTTTCTGGGAAAGGCAGAAGCTCCCCTTACCCCTCTCTCCCCGCTGCCACCACAGACAAAAAAAAGTCACCCAGCGCTTTGTTTGACACTTTACTGTTTACTATCTTTGAGATAGTTTCCATTTAATGGTTCAATTACAGCACTGGGTGATAAGGCAGTATCAAGAACTTTAGGCACAACATTTTTCTCCCCAAGCATTTTATGATAAAGCAAATACAAAGGGCACAAACCAGCTAAGGTTAAGTGTTTTCTGTTTTTGTTTTCACATCCCACCGGTTTCTGTGGGAGACACTTAAGCACATGCTTAAGCTACTCCTTTAAATCAACAGGGTTTAAAACTGCTTTGTTCGAGCTGGATCACAGTGAAAATATTTTGCATACCGTTCTTTATTCAAGACAGACAAGAAGGCATATGTTATTTTTCTATTATTATTAAAATTACAAGATGCACGCAGAAAAAAAACTTTAAAGTATAGAAATATGATGATGATGATGATATATTATTTATACCCCACCCATCTGGCTGGGTTTCCCCATTCACTCTGGGAGGCTCCCAACAGAATATTAATAAATATGAACTAAGGAAGAACATATCATTTTTTCATGGATGCAATGGCAAATGCACGTCTGGTCTTGCACACCAGTTAGGAGGTTGGAGTATTGGATCTCGGTCACTCACCAGCTCACAGAGTTTTAATGAGGGCAAAAATGAGGAACTGTCATATATTCTGCCCTGAGTTTCTTGGAGTATGGCTGGGATATAAATGCAATTTATAGAGACGGTGGTTGGTTGGTTGGTTGGATGGATGAAGGTATGGATGGACATTTTGGGTGCAATCCCATGGTCCCTGAGAGGGCCTCCTGGGAGACATAGGATACTGTGGAGCTTTCCTTCCTCAGAGAGGAAGTGGCAGCTCCTCTGCCATGAACTCTCCCCACCTTCACCTCCATGGGATTGCTCCTCCCATTATTATTGTTTATTTACAAAAATGTACAGTCCCCAGTCAGAAGATCCTCAAACCAGAGAACCACAAATCAAAGCAAGAACAGTAACACAATGACGTAACATGAAAATAAAAACTCATCAACAGAAGTCAAAATAGCACCACAAGTAACTAAATCTACTCAGGGTTAAAGTCTGCCTGAAAACAAACAAACAATTGTATAGCACGAGAATTTGGTTTAACTTAATGCGTAGAGATGAAACTGTAATGCAGAAATACAGAACATACCAACATATGCTCTCTGTTGCCCATAGACCATGGGCAGGAAAACTAAGGCCTGGGGGCTGGATTCAGCCCAATTGCCTTTTAAATCCAGCCCGTGGATGGTCCGGGAATCAGTGTGTTTTTACATGAGTAGAATGTGTGCTTTTATTTAAAATGCATCTCTGAGTTATTTGTGGGGCATAGGAATTCATTCATTTCTCCCCCAAAAAATATAGTCCAGCCACCCACAAGGTCTGAGGGACAGTGGACCGGCCCCCTATGAAAAAGTTTGCTGACCCCTGCCATAGACCAAGCCCATATGTGGAGTCCTTGCATAAGTGTCCTTTCAGAGGACAAATCTTCGCATGTCCAGTGGAATGCACAGGTATCATTTTTCTGTCCATTAAAGTGAATGGGTGGAGGAGCTCTATGTATGCATGAGAGCACCTACCCCCTGGCATAGCCTGCTGGATGGGAAGCCATTGGGCATTATCATGGCAATCTTTTAATATTTCACTGTTGATATGGCTCTCCTCCTCTTTTTCTCCTTTATCTTTTTATACAATGAATATTCATAATGCATTGTGAGCCATGCTGATATTACAGGTTGTCTTATTAAAAATTTAATAACATTTTAGCAGTGGAAAGGAAATGCTGAAATTATTGAGCGGGGCTATAATATGGCAAAGGGGAATATCTGGATCTTGAGCTGCACCAAACATTTCCATTGATATCAACAACTGCTGCGTATGAAGATCAAAGACAGTATATATGGTCTTAATCTGGGGCCTTTGGGAGACCCTTTATGGGGTGTTGCACTAAAAGTCAATATAGGATCTGAAGCAGCAACATATGATCCAGTTTATGCACTATTCTGAAATGAGAAAAAAGTGTGTGTGTGTGTGTGTGTGTGTGTGTGTGTGTCATGGCCTTTCTTTCTTTCTTTCTTGTATAGCAATATCCAACTGAGTCAATTATTTACTTAGTCAAAGTAGAAGCACAGGGTGAGCGCCCCAGAACAATTGTGCTAATGTAGTAAAGGTAAAGGGACCCCTGACCATTAGGTCCAGTCGTGGCTGACTCTGGGGTTGCGGCGCTCATATTGCTTTACTGGCCAAGGGAGCCGGCGTACAGCTTCCGGGTCATGTGGCCAGCATGACTAAGCCACTTCAGGCGAACCAGAGCAGCGTACGGAAACGCAGTTTACTTTCCCGCCAGAGCAGTACCTATTTATCTACTTGCATTTTGACGTGCTTTTGAACTGCTAGGTTGGCAGGAGCAGGAACCGAACAACGGGAGCTCACCCCGTCGTGGGGATTCGAACCACCGACCTTCTCACTGGCAAGCCCTAGGCTCTGGTTTAGACCACAGCGCCACCCGAGTCCATGCTAATGTAGTTGGGCCATTAACTGCACCTTTGCTTCAAACCCTTAGCAGTGAGTCTCCCCAAGGAGCAAAGACTATTCCTGCTATGATCTCTGACTGCCAGACTCAAAAACAAAAACAAACCAGGCCAAATTAACACCCCCCAACAAAACTTATGTGGTGCTACAATAGCCAGAATGTTGCTTATGCCCTTGTCATGGGATGCGGGTAGCCATTATGAATATCAGACACTACCGCCTGTCGACTCGTGTGTTGACTTCGCACCTTGCTAACTGCTGCAAAATGGTTACGTGAGCATATCAGGCAAAATTTTGGCACCACCTAGAATAATTTCCTTGGGGGAGAGACAGAGACTTTAAAAAATGCGTACGTACATTTAGCTGTCAGTTTGTACCCGCCTAGAGGAGGGTCGTGGCCTTCCACGGCATCAAAGCCAGCCGATACTAAGACAAAGTCGGGCTCGAACTCAGAGGCGATGGGCATAATCACAGTCCTGAAGACAAAGAATAGGCAAACGGTTATGAACAAGAGGCTTCATTTAAAACGCACTGATTAGCATGATACCATAATTAGCTGTCATCTAGCTCACCTCCCTCGAAGGTTACTTCCATGTTCATTTTTTCCCTCTCTCTCTCTCTCTCCCTACTTTCTGCAGATTTTTAATATTATTATTATAAAAAGACCCCCATAATTTGCAGGTACATGCGAGAGCTTCTAACGTTACACCCACATCTGGGCCTGTTTTACCTTCCTGCCTATAAAGGCTGACTCTTCGAGGGAAGTGACTAATGGATTACAAAGAGAACTCTGAAGTCTCAGTGGAAACCTGCATTGCGCCAGTGAGTGAGAACTTGGTGTAAATTTGAACGATAAATTTCTTTGGGGGAAAATGTTTGCTTTTTAAACTTATCCCCATCCTCTTAACATTTTAAAATGTTTGTCAAGATGGGGGGGGGAGGTAACTCTTGTCGAAAGGGTGGGGTGGGGACACATACAAATTCCCATAATCAAATTCAGGCCCGGCTGTCAGGCATTTTCTGAGGTCATGCCTGGTAGGAATTTGGCTACCACAAATCAGGAAAAGCACCCTCTGCTGGTTTCAGGAAGAAACTTCGAGGCTTTTCGATTCTCAACTTATTAACTCCTTCTTATCCAGTGTTTTATATCAGCCTCTTTGTTTCGGGCCAGCCCTACAAGGGTTAGGTGAAGCAGTTCACTTTGGGCAGTGGAATTAAGGGGAAACTGATTTCTGAATGGGGAGACAAGCCTATTTTTAAAGTGTTGGCCATAGCAAAAGGAAAGAGGTGTCATTTGGCAGCAAAACGTCTTAGGTTGGCAAGAATTTGGAATCAGTTTGTCAGTGTCAAGGTGAAGGCTTGTCTAAACCAGAAATCTTCACATTGGTATTTCAAGAGTCTAGCCCTCAGTGACTTGAAAATTCAACGACATATTTAGTAATTCAGCAGGGTGGTCACTTACAAGTCACCCCCAAAAAGAGGGATGCCTCAACAGCAACAAAAAAGGACACATATTTGCAGAAAATGTGCATATGTTGATTCATGTATAAATGCAAATTTTTACATAATTACTATTCTCCAAATAGAAATACTCTATAAGGTCGCACTATAGTGGAAACACTGTGGCCAAGCAGCCTGTAAGACTCAGTCTGCTATAACTGTTGATGGGCTGCCTCAAGGCTCTGGCTCTCCATTCGCAGGACTTGGACCAGACAGTCCTTCAAACAGAGGACTGTCAGCAACATACTTCAGTTAGAGGACTGTCCTATGCAGGGGCGTATGAAGGGGAGTGCGGGGGTTGCGGTCCGCCCCAGGTGTCATCCTTGAGGGGGGTAACAAAATGGCACACAGCGGGGGCGGCACTTACCATGGGGCCTGGCCTGCAGTGCACCCGAGGCAGGCGTCTCTCCTGGGAGTGACGCGGTGGCTTGGGGCCCAGCGCTGCCCAAAATGGCAGCGTGGGACTTGTGTCTGCCAG